TTGTTGTTTGGCGGGTCCGGGCTGGGGATTCGAACCTGCCACCTTAGGTGTACATGGCTGGCGCCTTAGCCGGTTGAGCTATAGGCGCCGAGCTGACACATTCTTCACATTTGTAGTTTCTCTCCACAAGAAATTCTGTGATGTTTACTATGAGCTTAGCTAAGGTAGAACATTTTAGTGCATTTTTTAAAATTTGTAAATTTTATGTCCAGAGTGAATTCTTTGATGTATAGAAAGGTTTGAGTCACAGTTAAAGGCTTTGTCACACTCTTCACGTTTGTAAGGTTTCTCTTCAGAGTGAATTCTTTGATGTCTAGAAAAGCTTGTGTAGTAGTTAAAGGCTTTGCCACATTCTTGACATTTGTAGGGTTTCTCTCCAGAGTGAATTCTTTGATGTTCAGAAAGGTGTGAGTGCCTGTTAAAGGCTTTGCCACATTCTTGACATTTGTAGGGTTTCTCTCCAGAGTGAATTATTTGATGTTTAGAAAGGTGTGAGTGCTGGTTAAAGGCTTTGCCACATTCTTCACATCTGTAGGGTTTCTCCCCAGAGTGAATTCTTTGATGTCTAGAAAGGTGTGAGTACTGGTTAAAGGCTTTGCCACATTCTTGACATTTGTAGGGCTTCTCTCCAGAATGAATTCTTTGATGTATAGAAAGGTGTGAGTGCCTGTTAAAGGCTTTGCCACATTCTTGACATTTGTAAGGTTTTTCTCCAGAGTGAATTCTTTGATGTACAGAAAGGCCTGAGTGCTGATTAAAGGCCTTGCCACATTCTTGACATTTGTAGGGTTTCTCTCCAGAGTGAATTCTCTGATGTGCAGAAAAACCTGAGTAATGATTAAAGATTTTGCCACATTCTTCACATTTGTAGGGTTTCTCTCCAGAGTGAATTATTTGATGTGTAGAAAGGCCTGAGTGCCGGGTAAAGGCTTTGCCACATTCTTGACATTTGTAGGGTTTCTCTCCAGAGTGAATTCTTTGATGTACTGAAAGGTGTGAGTGCTGGTTAAAGGCTTTGCCACATTCTTCACATTTGTAGGGTTTCTCTCCAGAGTGAATTCTTTGATGTTTGGAAAGGTGTGAGTGCCTGTTAAAGGCTTTGCCACATTCTTGACATTTGTAAGGTTTCTCTCCAGAATGAATTCTTTGATGCACAGAAAGATTTGAGTGATGGTTAAAGGCTTTGCCACATTCTTCACATTTGTAGGGTTTCTCTCCAGAATGAATTCTTTGATGTACAGAAAGGTATGAGTGCCAGTTGAAAGCTTTTCCACACTCTTGACATTTGTACGGTTTCTCTCCCAAATGAATTCTTTGATGTCTACAGAGGAGTGAGTGTCTCATAAAGGCTTTGCTACATTCTTCACATTTGTACGGTTTCCCTCCAGAATGAAGTACTTTATGTACAGAAAGGCTTGAGTAATATTTAAAGGCTTTGCCACAGTGTTGACATTTATAGCATTTCTCTCTGGAATGAATACTTTTATGGCCATAAATGTGTGAGTACTTTTTGGTAAGTTTGTCACATTCCTTATATTTGTAAGGTTTTTCTCCAGTATTCAAAATCTTATGGTTACAATACTTTGATCTGTGGCTAAGACATTTGTCATCATTTTCATACTTGTTGAGTTTCTCTCCAATATGGAGTCTTGAGCAAGACTGAAAGACTTGGCTACCTTCTTTGCATTTGTGTTGTTTTTCTCCAGTATTTGTTATCTTATGTTCTGTGATATGTGAGCAGAGCTTAGAGGCTTTCCTATACTCTTTACATTTAAAAGTTTTGTCTAAGTTATATAGCATCTTATATGTGTTTACATTTGACAACTGTCTGAAGACATTCAAACATTTACTACATTGGAAGACTTTGCCATGGGTACCTGTTACACATTTGTCAAGTCCACTGTAACATACTTTCTGCTGCTTACGCTCATATACACCTTCCCAGTCTTTTGTAAAGTTTAAATTCTCAGGGCCACAACTTTGATATCTGCTCAAGATCATCTCTGGAAATAAAATATTTGAGCCCAGCTCTTGCCAATGGTCTTGGGTAGAATGATTAGAGAGAGCTGAAAGAAATTTAAACAATAACAATTTTAGCACTCACTTTTTCTTAGAATCCAGTAAATACACATTACACATTTTATCTGCAAAATCATGTTAAGAACATTAGGAAGATGCCCTAATACAGTAGAGAGGCACCAATTATCTTAAAGATAAATAAATGTTGCATGTATACACTGCATTTTGGGGGAATTCTGAAAACCTGGTAAGAATATGCAGCACAACAGGTAAGCAGAAGTTGTAGAGATAATGTAGAGGCAGGGAATTGGATCCCATAATTAATCCTAGAACTCAGGGACACTGTTGTGAATGGATCACTGGGGCACAGGTGTTTGAGATCAACCTGAGCAAAAGTGAGACCCCATCTGGATTGGCACCTGTAGCTCAAGCGACTAAGGCACCAGCCACATACACCGGAGATGTAAGGTTCGAATATAGCCCCAGCCTGCCAAACAACGTCAACCAAAAACTAGCCAGGAGTAGGAGTGGGCAAATGTAATCCCAGTTACTCCTGGCTGTGGCAAGAGAATCACTTAAACCCAAGAGTTGGAGGTTGCTATAACCTGTGATACTTAGGCACTCTACCCAGAGCTACAGCTTGTGACTCTGTCTCAAAAAAAGAAAACAAAACAGTGACACCCCCCCAACTCTACCACAAATAGAAAAATTATTCCGGCACAGTGGTACATTCCTCTAGTCCCAGCAAATCATGAGGCTGAGACAAGAAGATCTCTTGTGCCCAGAAGATTGAGGATGCTGTGAGCTTTGACAACACAGCACTCCTCCTAGGGCGGCAACTACTTAGGCTGAAATAAATGAATAAATAAATAAATACATACATACACACATACATTCATACAATGTGTATGGGCATATACACAAATATATTTCTAAAATAAAAGCAAAAATCGTCAATAATAATAATAATGATGAAAGAGCCAAGGAGGGCTCGGCGCCTATAGCTCAAC